ACTGAACACCGTCTAGTAATAAGATCTCCTCTTTCCGGAATTGTGACTTACTTTGGTAAAATGGTTAATATTAACCATCCCTCCTTAAAATGTCAAAATATATTTTATCCTAAATGGATCAAAAAGAGAAAATAATTCAACTTGACAGAACCACCCCAAAAGAGAATACACCACGGGATTTTGATCAGTTTAACAGCATGTACACATGAGCTGTAATGAGTGTATATATGCAGTTAACTGTTTCTGTAACTAAGATTCTCAAAGCATGAAGACTCGGGTCGCGGCTTTCCAGGATCACCATTCAGCCACATTCACGGCTATTTGGATCTTTATTCGAATGAACATGAGATGTGTTTGAAGCCTACTCATAAATGGAACAAAATGTCAAGTGGCAAATAAGCCATGTAACATCACGAAACAATGCAAATAGACATCAGTCCCTGTACCTTAATATACATACTGGATTTCGTTCCAGTCTATCAATCGTCGGCCTTCACATAGAGTTGCAGACCAATCAGCCGCATGTACCTGCCCGTAAGTACCATCCAGTCAGTGGCCTCCGCCAATTTATATACACTTTAATACGTGTAATCAGGTCACGTACAAGGCACGTTGCCCTACACCTATGACACCTTCCTTAAGTTTAATGAGAATACTAGTATATTCAAGCTGGTGTTAACCTATGCAGTTTACATATACGTCCTTCGTATTATTACATTGTTCGCGTCCTGCCAGCGTCGACTAGTCTATAGGTTCGATAATAAATTCAATATATGTATTGTACTCGGGAATTCTCAATTTCAAGGTATAGCTTTGATTAACACAGTGATTCACCATCCCAGATATACCATCCCAGATATAGCATCCCAGATATACCATCCCAGATATACCATCCCAAGACTACATATCGCAATGTCTATGCCAGGTAAACCCTTCTTGACTGTACGCATTGAACAATTTTTGAATCTGGCGAGGTTTGTTATGTTATCAGCTGATTCATACATAACTCATATTTAGTATTTTGCGAGTTTGCTAACAAATATAGTGATTAGTAATAACCATGGGCTACATACGATCAGTGTGCATGGACGACGGCCACCATGCCAGGAACTTAAGGGACTATACAGACGTAAAGACCTCTCCACACAAGGACAGTATATTGATCGACTAATATCTAAATGTCGCCGAGTTTAAGTGCACGCCACAAATCATCATAATAATTTCAAGAAATTAAAAGCCTTATTCATCTTAACAACAGAGAAACCTTCATCATTAACTCCCTAATCACTCATTCCTTACTGCCGCAAGCGTGTTACGCACCCCAACGAAACAGAATGTAATGTCCATGTCATGCCATAGTCCAGATAACACATTATCATTTTTAAATCTACGTCAAACTCGACTATCTAAACCTCACACAAATAATTGATAGTTTGGGTAATTGCGAAAGCTAACACCAACAAGACTAATTAAGATATAAGTAATAATAATAATAAAAAAACAATAACAAAATAATGAAAATATATAAAAAATATATATAAAATAAAATTAAATAAACGCCGTACAATACATCAGATTTTAATATCAGTATTACTAGACGTGAATAAGCATTGTGGTTTTGTTAATTTAAATACTATAAATAATGCTAGCATAAGAAGACGTTGCGAGGCACTCTGCGTGTCCAGGTTGAATAATACTACTTTTTGAGGTCATACAAAGTCATTACATATTGAAACTGCTAATCAAAGCGTTTTACAACAACACAAAATCAGCATTTATAGAGATTCTCAAACACACAACGAATCAACAGTTATGATAACAATGGTTTTAATATTAACAATATGAATACTGACAGCAACACAACATTATTCTATGTAACTGACGTTAGAACTAATTGCAGGCGACCACGGCATGAAAAAAAGAATGCACCAGGAAATGAAATGAAACAACCTGTCACTGTGAATGAAATCCTTCACAACCATTAATGAAATAGGCTATAATTCTATGTTTTCACTGAGCGTAACAGATTTGCAATGTTCTATACAGTTTTAAAACGTGTGATTAATAATTTACGAATATTGGCAAAATGAATTGTGAGACAAAATGAACATCAATCTCACAGTGCAGTCATATTTTGATGAATTAGGATACTCACATTAGGAAATAACACTCGTTTACACTTAACATTTTGTCAACTGCGAACATTTAACAGTAATTTTCACGTGTTAAGGTCAAGGGCAAAA